ACAAAGGGGGGCCTATAATTTTGTTACCCCCTGTAGTAATGCAGATTCTAATCCCAGTTTATCATTTGATTTTATAAATAAATATCCATTGTTAAAAAAATTAATTATTTGGTATCAACGAGTTAGCAATGAAAATGAAGCTGATGAAAATAAAGATAAATTTTTAAACCATTTTATTGATACTATCACTGATAATTTGACAAAATCGAAAAATAATTTTCGATATAGTAATTCGATTAAGAATTTTGCTTTATCGTTGTATATTTTAGGTGGTAAATTGACCTATGAATTTCTTAGATTAAATTTACCTGGATCTTTACCACATCTATCTTTATTAAATTCATTGATTTCAAGTTCAGATTCAAGAATCAGTGAAGGAGAATTTAGATTCGATCAACTTCAAAAACATTTTGATAGTCTTAATGTGCAATATGCATTCGGCTCTGAAGATTGTACTGGTATAGTTAAAAGAATTAAATATGATTCAACAACAAATACATTTACTGGATTTCCTTCATTACTTGATCGTGGAGTGCCAATTAAATCATATTATCAGACTGACTCATTTGATGCATTAAAATTATGGTTCAATTCAATTGATAAAGCATCGTTATTGAATGTACATATGATTCAGCCAGTGCAATCCACAGATAATAGCAGCATACCAAGTCCTTATCTATTATCAGCATATGGAATTGACAATACTGCAACCGCGAACGATATATTACAGAGATGGTGGTATATATTTAATCAATCCTTACAAAGAAATATCAGAATCATTGGTTTTTCTACTGGTGAGACAATTTTTTTTTCAAATTTTATTAAAGAATAACTGCGTTTTTTTATAGACGCGGATCCAAAATATCTACGTGCTATGCGTTTAATGAGCGGTTTTCTTGGAGCTCTTCCGAATTTTCAAGTTCACCAGCACCCACAAGCATTTCAAATAAAAATAAGATCACACTGGTCTTGGTTTTATCTTCGTGAACAACAATTATTATTATTTTTTCAAGATCCGACACATTTGGTAACCAAATGGCGTAATCGTTTATTATCAGCAACAGCAGAATTATGTCTCGGAAATCAGTCAATATCGATCAATCATTTGCATGATATTATTGAAAATGATACTTATTCTAAACTTGATCATGGTCTAACAAAATCTGACATTAACCCTAAAGATCGTCAAAACTTTAGTTCTTGTTTGAAATTAACATCTAATGATCTATTCAATATTTTAAATGCTACTGCTGATACTCGTGGAACCTTGCTTTATTTTCAAGTGTTAAAAATGATTATAGTAGCTTATATTGAAAAAACAACAACAATAGTTGAAAGTGAGTACTTATACACGCTAGATCACATATAATAAGATTTTATTGTAGGACTACGATCTGCTTGGTGTGTAGTGTTTTTTTGTCGACTATGGTTTACCTGGATTAAATTTAAAACATTTAATTTAACACAAACCAGAAACAATAATAAAAGCAGATATTTTATTACACAACCAGCATATTTATCGGTTGAAATAAATGCTCATAATTTATTATATTTAATTTTACTTGTCAAACAAAAGCAGTTACCACCACAAGCATTGAATATTCCTATTTTTAACTCGCAAGCTTGTGAATCAATTTTTAGAAATACACGAGCGTTAAGTGGAATTTATTCAACCATAGTCAACTTTACAGTACATGATTTTCTACGACGTGCCCAAAGATTATCATTATTGAATGACATTAAATGTAAACAGTTACATAGTGGTTCAGTTGACAAGTTAGTCTTTCCGGTTCATTATAAACATCGGGTTGAACGTCAATCATCATTTACACACAGTCAACTTGAAATTGATGAAATAGACATCGAACGAGTTATTACTGATGCCTATCATCATGCTGTTGATATGCTTGAAGGTCTAGATATATTGAACTTATTGGAAAAAAAACATGTTCTTGGATTAAAACCATTAAGTGAATATTTATTTCGACAATTAAATTCCAATTCACAAAAACATAATTACTCTTCTCAAATAAGCAATATAGACGATGAAGTATTTGAAAGTGACGATGATAATGATGAAGATGGAGATGACACAACAAATGATCTCAGCATGAATGAGGACAATGATGATAGCTCTATTAACAACGATTACACTGATGAAGATGAACAAAATAACACTCAAGATTTAATAAATACTACAAAGAAAGACTTCTCTGGAGTAAAAGTTGCTGATAAAGTGGAGCCTCATATTGAACATACCTATTGTAAAGTGAAATTAAATCATGATACAAAATTTTTACACAAACAAACTGCTTGTTGGTTGTTAACAGAAGAGAAAAGTAAACTTTCAAATGACCGATTACTTCGCGTGCAACAGGTCAATAAATGATAATATAAATGGTTTTTTCTTTTTTTTTATAGTATTTGTTTGATTTTTTTCAATAAAGGGTATATTTTGTTGAATTTAAAATTTTTTTATTCATTGAAGGTGTTGTATATGGGTGGTGCACAGATACTGTGCGAACATCTCAAAAGTGGAGCCAGTATAAGTTTAATTCTATGTAACAGGTGATGAAAAGTAAAACCAATATACAGCAGTATTACATGTCTATAATATACTTGTGAAGTGCTCTCCAGAATTTCAAACGACTCCACTGGACTCCATTGGACTCCATTGGACTCCATTGGACTCCATTGGACTCCATTGGACTCCATTGGACTCCACTGGACTTCACTGGACTCCATTGGACTCCATTGGACTCCATTGGACTCCATTGGACTCCACTGGACTCCATTGGATTGGAGTCCGCTATTTCCCCCTTGTATCAGCTAGTTTTCAACAAAAACAGTTCTTATCGAAATTTTATTATAATGATATTAGTTGAATAGTGATCAAACAGTATAGAAAAATAGAGCGAAAGATGCTCTATCTGTTTATAAAAAAAGAAAATTTTTTCAAGCTTGCAATAAGAAAAAAACAGTATCTACGCTACTACTTTTGGATAATCCTCGAATATTAATATTATTTTCATACATTTTTTTCGTATTAATATTGTATATATATGTTTAGATGAAACTCTTTCATCTGGTATATTTAAAAATCAGATTAGAACACTTTTTCTTACAATTGATAATAATAATGATAATTATGAAGAAATGGTATTGTCAGCGACAAGCATAGTTAATTACATTTTGAAGATTTGCACTAATCTAATTTATTTAACATTATATGAATCATTGTATAAAAATCGTGTTCGATTATTGTTGGATGATGAATTTCTTCCTACTTTTCGTTCTTGAACTCTTTTAAAATTGGATATCAGAGTACAATGTTTTGATGATTGTCTTCATCTTCTCAATGGTCGATTTAATCAACTTCATACGCTCTGTGTTGATTTGGTTCATATTCATCATCCACATGAAATTTTAAATCAAGTTAGTTTTATAAGAAAAATCTTTATATTGTTAAATAACAAAAGAAATGTTATTTTTTAGGATGATTTACCAAATCTAAAGTGTTTTTCTCTGTCCTGTTATTTAACAACAAGTTTTTACAATGCATTGATCCTACCACTGCTATATCGAATGTCAAATCTAGAACAACTCGGTTTGTATATTGCAATTACTATTAATACAGCATTTATTGATGGAAATCATTTAAAGAAAGATATTATTAATCGTATGTCACGATTAAATCAATTTACATTTTATATTCATTCATTTATGTTTAATTGTAATCAATTGGATTTTCCATCAACAGAAGATATTCAACGCACATTCATTGACTTTCCAAATAATAATATAATTTCTTATGTTGATTATTTTCCAGAAGCAAAAGAAAGTCAATGTCATATTTACTCATCCATCTTTTATTCCATATTACGACAATATTACAAATAATTTTCCAGGTGGATTATACAAATATGTTCGTTCGATATCATTACTTGATGAATATCCTTTTGAACATGAATTTTTTTCTTCGAATTCAAAAATCATTTCCATTTATAGAAGAATTACCTGTGATTAATTATAAATCACAAAATGAAAAACAATCTTATGAATCAAACAATGACAGTCAAAATTTATCTCTTATTGAATATTCTTTTCTTAATGAACTTGCTATCGTCAAGATTCATGATGATTATATAGAACAATTTCTATTTAATACTAAAACATATTTACAAAATAATGTTCTTCATATCAATTATGAATCTTTACAACGAGTAACACACAATTTCACAAGAGAAAATGCACGAACTAACTGTGCCAAAATAAATAAACTAAAATTATACGGTGAAGCAACATGTCCAAACTCTTCTTTACAAGAATATTTTCCTTATGCAAAAATATCTTATCTAGGAAGATTTTGAAAGACAACAAATAAAGTATTTTAATTAAAGACAAATAGAATAAAAAAAAAAGAAAACTATCTTGTCTATTGTTGTAAGAAAACAAAATCTATATAGAGATGAAAATGATCATGTATCATAAGTAACAATCTGTGAAATAAATTAATTTTCTTGAAACATATGTGTATAATATATTGAGTTGTAACATATGAGTTCTGCATATTTTTTTTGTTCCGCCATGTACTGTAAACCCTTGGACTAGCAAGCTTATTTTGAGAGATAATATGATAACATGTATTTGTATTTTATGATTTTGAATGCTGGACCGGTATCCTCGCCAAAATTAGGTTATTGTCCTCTTCAGTCTTGTAAAGAAATTATTAGAATTACAGTTTGTCTTTATTTAGAACAGTTTAGTTTCACATCTCATTCAAGCAAAAAAAGAATGATACAGAGAACAAGATTCCTAACTCTACATTTGAAGTCTAATGAGTCATCGATTTGACTAATTGGATAGTCTCAATCAATGGCAAGAAATTGTTTAAATTAGGTTATAACTATATCCAGTTAGCTAAGTAATGATTCATTGCATTGAAGGCTAATAATTCGACTGGTTTTACATTTTACGTGTCTTATTATAATTTAGTTAGCAGATCAAGGTATGATGTCATGTTAAATACTCATAATCGGTCATTAAAAAGGAAGATGATTTCTTTTTTTATATAGTCAAATTTGGATTCTAAACATTGGAAAACATTAAATATATTGAAAAATAGGAAAAATACTGAGATATTCTTGTCAAATGTCTGTTTTCTAACGTGGGGTCCATTTGAGCCCCGCTTGGTTGTCCAAGTTTTTATTATTTAGAACAATATACAAAAACGAAAGAATTGTATTTCTAGTATGATTTATTTATGGATAATTATTTCATGAGACAACTGAGTTGATTAGGAGAATTACCTTGTCGACTCGTGTTAATTACTATTTTTGCTGCTTTGTTTTGTTTTACACAAGGATCTATCTTAAGCAATTCCACTGATAATGAGTATCACTGGATTTTGAACTTAAACATAAAAACAAAGAGACATTAATTCCATTTTTATCTTCATCATTTAACCTATCAGCATAGATGACGAGAATCTTCATTGTTGACAACAATAGATACGACCCTAAAAAGATAAGAAATGTTTTGTAATACAAACACATCTAATAAACGAGAATAATGAAAGTTTTTAGTGATAGAGATCTGGTCTCGTAGTGGAACTATATTTCCTATATTTGTCAAAAAATTGAAGGTTGCTGGCAAAAAAAGTCACATATTCGTTGATCTGAAAGTCAAGAAAGCAACAATAAGATGTTCAACGGAACAAAATATAGAACATGTTTTGTGTAAATGAAGTTTGTAAGCAATTGCTGTAAGAAAAAGAAGAAATATTAATGAAACCAATGCATTTTAACGTGAACTTCATGAAGGTGACTAGACAGTCACCAATGACAGTGAACGTTTACAAGAACTTGCAACCAAGAAATAGTCTTGATATAGATAAAGCTATAAGATTAATTGATGATGATAATACTGAAAATTAAACGATCTGGAACAGATGTTGACAATACAAAACAGTTGATTAAAATTAGAAGTAAATGAAAAATTGATTTTGGCCAAGAAGAACAGAAGCGATAAAAACTACAACGGATTCAGCGATTACTTATAATTAAAACAGATTTATACTTGTGTATATTTCGAATTATACTTTTAGGTATGAGAGATGTTTTAATAGTATTAAAAAGTGGTATAGTTTATATTATATAAACAAAAAAATTAATTTTTTGTTGTCTCTATTGCATTTAATTACGTTTATAATCCTATAGGTCCGTATCTGTAGCGTAGTCAGAGATTCTTCATAAAGAGTGGGGTGTGGGTGTGGATGTAGGTGTGTGGTATGGGTGTGGGGTGTGTGGGTGGGTGGGTGGGTGTGGGCGTGGGTGGGTGGGCTGTGGGTACGGGTGTGTCCGCTGTGATGTGAATGAATACTATCTACAACCGCACCCGTACCCGCACACCCACCCCACACCCAAACCGACACCAACCCAATAGAAATGGATATGATATCTTTAGGATAACATAGCCGTCTGTTGTGTTTTTTTCCTGGCTAAAGAGCGATTCTAGAAGATTCAGAATATCATCGAATGATGAATCATCACGAACACTGGAAGAAATGCTTCGACATTCTCTTTCAAACAACAAAAATATTCGATTTATCTGTCTCATATCGTACAGCATAATTTTTCTTGTAACTCAAACATCTAAATTCAAGTTATCTCAATGATGTAAATGAATGAGAATTACGTTTAATGACGCAGGTAGATATGATTCAGACGTTGCACGATAACAATATGGATTTTATTCTTCGACCGAGTATTGATGAATGGAAAAAAAAACAAATCGTTTAGCTTGCGTATTCGAACAAGAGAAAAATGAACTAAGCGACATGTGCATCTCGCTCATATAATGCATAAATACCGATAAGCAAAAAAAAAACAAGTGCGTTAGAAATACGTGGGTTTATTCCGTTCTTGAGAAAATATTCAGTTCGAATGGTTATCGTCGAGCATTGTTCCGATTCGATTTAGAATATTGCCAATTCGAGTATTGTTAATAGTGATAGGCTCTAAATTGAATCGATTCATGACGTAGGCAAACGAAAGATTCTTGGCTGGAGCAGCAAATGCAATGCTACCACCCGCTCCTAGAAAGTATTGACTTATCGACACTTAATTATCTACAGATCAATCTTACCGCTATGACCAAATGATTTCGGTCCGAACATCGGGAAATCTTGTTCGTAAAGCACAAAACCCATACCGAAAGGAAATGATATTTGCAAGATGGCATCGATTTCATTTGGCAATGTATTCGATGTTGTGGCATGTTGCAAGATTTCCGGTTGCAATAATCGACTATCCTTTCGATCATCAATATTGCCGATGAGTGAAGCAAAAATACGAGCTAACGATCGTGCATTAGTGATGCCGTTTACAGCTGGAATTTCTGCTTGATGTGTTTGGGCTTCATTGTAGAAACGATACACTGTCAACATGGAACTATTCAAGATTCCTTCGACATCGGTTAGAATTAACGGTGATACTCGTTGTTCGAATTCTTGCGGAAGACCAATATAGAATTCAGTTTGTATTGGATCGGCGATTTCTTCTCGAATAAACTCTCCGATTGTTCGCTTCTGTGGATCGACTCGTCGTATGAGTTCACCAGCTAACCATCCATAGGTCAATGCATGATAACCTTGAGCATGTCCAGGAATCCAGACAGGTCGTTCCTGTTCAAGCAAATCGATCATTGTTGTCCAATTCAGATATTGATCGAACGAAGAGATCAAAACATTAGGCACACCAGCACGATGTGACAGAATATCTGCGACAGTCGTATTCTCTTTGCCTCTCTGCCCGTATTCTGGCCAGTAGCGCGTCACAGGTGCTGAATAATCCAAAAGACCTCGTTGAACGCAAAGTGCTGCAGCGATAGCAACTAAACCTTTTGATGTGGAAAATACCAATTGAAGTGTCTCGTTATCATAGACCTTCGTCTTTGATGCATCGAACCATCCGCCAGCCAAATCTACTACTAATCGGCCCTGATGATAAATCGCGATCGAGCCACCGGTATCTCGTCCTTGCACGAAATTCTCACGGAACAAATCCCGTACGAATTCCCATCCATTAGCCGTACCACCATAAAGATTCACATCAGCACTAATTGTCAGCGAAATACAACTCAACCAATAAATCACAGTCAACCACATGATTCTTTCTTTGTCTGGTTCTTATCAAGAACGAATAAAACCTAAAGTGAATAGCGATAATCAATACTAGATAAATAGCATTGACATTTTTTTTCGTAATCTTCCTAGATAATGTGTATTGTGTCGAGAGAAAAAAAAACGATAGATTGTATAGAAAGAACAGACAAGTAGAGCAATAATTGAAGTACAATCGTAAATGTCTATCGAAATAGAGAAAAATATCGATCGATAAAGAGACAAAATGATTTTTTACACAAATATGTTTTTTCATGGCTTTATCGTAGGATAATGGTGGCGGTTAGCGCATATGTATTAGATTGTAGACGGGATGATGTAGATGATCCTGAGGCAATCATAGATTTACTTGTATTTAATTCGTTTTCATACCGTCTCAATGCACCAACACATTGACAGAAACATATCGAATTCAAGAAAATAACCGCGATGATCATAGACCAAATCACGTGTTCTATGGGATTGAACGGAGTACCACGAATGAAAACCGGCATAAAACAAAAGATGTGGCTGATGTTTGTGCAGAATCTACTGATATAAGACATGATGTTAACGGAAGTATTTGTCTCATATATGTACATTACTTTTCACAATATTATCTACGTGATTGACTGACTCAGAATGATATATCGTCAGACATGGAACTCTTCTCACATCAATCCGTCATAAACTAACCAAATGTTGAATGGAAATAACAAACCAGTATAATTGTCGGACGAATTTCATAATGAGTTACAAAGTCTACTAGATCGTCTTGTCTTTTGGACTCAGCATTCTTCCCTATGTAATCCGGATGTGGGTGTGAGTCTTCAGTTCATTCATACTCACGTCTTCAAGATAGTGCTAGACGTTTCAGACTACACATGACGGGTATTAAAGACATTTTGGACTAGCTATGTCGGCCATCTTCATTTATTTTTTGCTCACTTGGATAATATCTTTTGTAAACAAGCATTGCCTATATAAAATTATCAAGTTCAAAACCTTTTAGCATGTTCGTAAACGAACACACAGCGTTATCAAAAATCGCTTTGTTCAAATTTTCAACCAATTTTTCAATACTTTGAAAGATTATCTTACTGCTTTCGGATAAAAATAAGCACAATAAGCCTCAATCCATCTTTGTGAGTAGCATAAAATTTTGGTCCTAATCCATAACTTTTCACTTATTTGAACTACTTTCAAGCAGACAAAAATCAATAAAATATTCTCGAAAAATTTTGGGCTATCCATTCCGTCAAAACTATTTTTTAGACCTTTGAAAGATTCTTTCACTATTCTCGAGCAAAAATAGATAGAAAATTTGTGAGCCCATATTCAAAAAGAACACAAAATTCTGATTCTAAATCATAATGTTTCATTCGTGTCTAGAATACTTTCAAATGAGTCAATAATAAACAAACATTTTGTCTAATAACTTTCACACCATCCGTTAGTTGAATTTAAAGTCAGCCTATAATATAGAACAATTAAGACAAATTGTCATAGATGATTTAAACTCCTTGATTATATTCAATCGCATGAAAGATCAATTTGAAAACACGAAATTTTTGTCATGATGATCTCTTTCATATTTCTATCGATAAAACCGATATAAAATCCAATGAATATCTACTATCGCAAGAAAACGAGAGTGTGGATGTGGGGATAGATATGGGAGAGTGGATTGGTGGTTTGACTATGCGGATGAAGAGAAGGCCACATCCGCAAGCAGCTCCACTGACAACGAACCACATCCAATACTCTCAGCTGATCGACATTTCAACCAAATCTAGAAGGGATTGATGAGGATACTAAACCAAGCAGAAAAGCTGATTTTAAGAACCTTTTAGTGTGCGATATACCATCAGCAATAATAGAACATTGATTCATCTTGTCTTCCATAGGTGGACAGTCACCCTCTTGTATTTTTTGTTTTTGTTTGTGAAACATCAAAGAGGCAAGAACTCGAGGTAATAAAATCGTTGCTCGCAAAGCAAAAACAAGAGATCAAAGACAGGATGTCGGTGTGGGATGTGAGTGTGAATAAATTGAAGATCCACATCCATACTCATGCTCTAAAAATATTTTATTTGAATAAGGAGCGGATGGAAAAAAACACATATGCATTAGAGCCTATAGTGTTTTACAAATAATAGATTAAGCGACAAGCCATTACAAAATAAATTATATATTTCGAATAGTATATATTACTATTTCCAATACCGATAGGTCCTAAAAATTTATCAAAATTAAATTCAATTTTATATGTGCTTTGTATATTTTTAATATTTTCTAATGAATTACAATTGTTTGTCGTTTTACAAACGTAGGACACATAATCTAAATAACTAACACGATCATTTAATAAATGAATTCTTCCATCAATAAATCTCCATTTTTCAATTGATTGTGGAGAATTTTCATAATATGAACATACTATTTTTGTTAATAAATTGTTTGGATCAATGTTAATGAATGTTGTATAAAATGAGCAATTTTCTTTTTCTGTTGTTGTTTTTCGACGTGCTGGTTTGCATTCACTTGAATTTGTAAAATTTGAATAAATAAAACATTCGATGGATGTTGGTAATTGTGATTGATCCACAGATGATCGACTAGGTGGTTTGATTTCAGTTGTTGTTGATTCAAGCAAACGTTTAAGAACAACTTCAGGATTATTACATTAATCTGTTAAACAATGATACAAAATATACGTAGAAAATTTTCCACTATTATGTTGAGTAAATCCAGTCAAAACATAGGGAACATCTCTTCTTTCCGAAGTCTCTATTACATTTACGCGAAGATCACTTTTTGTTCCATTATCAGTTGTCCAAATATCTAATGAACAAAATTTATTTGGTGTAACAACTATTGTACAATTAAATATCGAGGGAACATTATCGGGTGTTATAAGAAAGTTGTAATTTTTTTGGTTCACATTCGAAACATTGTAAAATTGAACATGACTAATTGTTATTAACAGTAACAACCACAGATATAGAATCATCATGTCTAAAAGAGCATGAGTACATAATGACACATTGTTTTCGACTTATATTTAATTGAGCAATAAAAAATACAGAATGAGCAATAATCAAATTTAGCGATAAATATATAGAATGAGCAATATATATATTGAATAAGCAATATATATATTGAATGAGCAATAATTAGATGGAATGAGCAATAATTCCATGAAATGAGCAATAATTAATTAAAATGAAGCGTAAAATGTATATAAAAGGGCAATAATAACTCGTTTTTTTACAACAATAAACGTTTTCTTATCCTCATGAAATTTATATATAACTTTTATACATCACTCAAGCACAACTCATAGCACACTATTTTCTGATTCTTGGGTGTGGGTGTGGGTGTTAAACTACAATGAACCCACACCTACACCCACACCCACACACCCACACCCACACCCACACCCACACCCACACCCACACCCACACCCACCCACACCCAAGATCCGAGGTTTTCTATTGTGTCTAATCCCAAAAGTTTTCCAGAGGGTCTTGGGTAATGTCTCTTTTCTTTCTACAGATTGCAACTAAAAAAATTGTTCAGAAAGCCAAAGCGATTTTGATGCTTTGAGAAGGAATTTTTCGGATTTTAAAAGCCTAGATAAAAGGTTGAAAACACTTAGTTAAATTTTGTAGCTGAAAACTCTGAAAACTAAGCATATTATGATGTAAATCCAGTGGTTGAAGTTGTCATTTTTCGAAAAATTTGATAATTGAATAAAGTCTTATACTAAGTCTTGCACGTATTTCTCCAAGGGGGTCTTCTATTATGGAAAGCCTTCTAATATAGGGACTTCCTATCGGAAGAGAAGGGTGTGCTGTTTTGAGAAAAAAGAAAATAGTCGTTCGTATAGAGACTGGCATGGCTACCGTGACTCACGGTCACGGTCACGATGGCAACGGTCGTGACCGTGACCGTAACCGTGACCAAACTGATCGTGACCGTGACGTGACCGTGACCAAAAAATGTTGATCACGCCGATGTCTACCCCACACCCAGACCCTCCCACACCCAGACCCTCCCACACCCACACCCATTTTTCTTTTTTGTTTCTTGTAAATTATAAATAAAAATAATTCACTTCTATCTTTTTTTGTTGCTCAAATATGAAATTAATATTGTTATATAATAAATTATTTATTGCTCATTTAATGTCAAAATATTGCTCATTTAATATCATAATATTGCTCATTTTATATTATGATATTGCTCAAATAAACATTTTTTATTGCTCAAAAATTATTGCTAAATCATGTTTTTATTATTGCTCATTCTATATTTTTTATTGCTCAAATAAATACAAGCCATTGTTTTCTATGCCAAAATAGGGGATTGGAGTATAGCTCAATACAAGATAAAGCTGCTGATAGATGGTAAAAAGCGTCCGCTAGAATGTACTACAAATATACTTCTTAGACTGAAGGCTAAGGTCGAGAAACGGCAAATAATTCGTCTGTTTGAAACATGTTTTCAAAATCATGGTCTGTCTCGCTAAGCTGCATTTATTTCTTCCTTTTGATTGATTCAATACTTATTATTATCAATGTTTCGGTTATTTCTGAAACACAGCTCATAATGAGTTTTGAAGTATTTCGTGAGAAAAGTGAACAATCCCTCGAAGAATAGTAGATAGGGTGGGTGTGGGTGTCGGTGTAGGTCTGGGTGTGGGTGTGGGTGTGGGTGTGGATGGAGGTGTGGGTGTGGGGTGTGGGGATGGGTGTGGGTGTGTGGGTGTGGGTGGGAGTGTGGTGTGGGTGCGGGGTGTGGGTGTGGGTGTGGGTGTGAGTGTGGGTGTGGCTGTGGCTGTTTGGATGTGGCTATCAATGTCTAAAGCACACACACACCCACTTGCCATACTCACCCACACACCCACTCCCACACCCACACCACCCACACCCACACCCACACACCCACTCCCACACCCACACCCACACACCCACTCCCACACCCACACCCACACACCCATTTCCACACCCACACACCCACACCCACACCCACACATCCACACCACCCACACCCACACCCAAACAGAACGAACAATATATATATATATATATATATATATATCAAATTTTCGACCGCTCGTCGCACCCATAGCATGCTTTGTTTTGTTTGCTCGGTACCATCAGCATTAATATCCCTTCTATCAAAAATCGTCACAATCATCATGCCTAAAGATTTTGAGGCATTTATTTAGCAATTCTGATTTTTGTATGCTATTTGCCATTGATGAACACTATATTCAATAAAATTTAAAAAAATATAATATCGATTTCATTTTTGGAGTGAATTTTTACATAGTATGTTCTACTATGTTAAGGAAAAATTCAATTATCCCTTAATCTCCAAGTCTATTCTTGATATTCATTCAAGACGTAAGACGAAATTGACAAATTATCATGAACTCGATGTGCATGATCTCGTGCTGATTACAAAAGCATTTCTGCATTTCATTCAATATTCTTCTTCCCTTTGGTCTGTTGATGAAACGTTCATACGAAGAATTGAGAAGCTAAGAAGTCTTCATGAGGCATATGTCTCATTCTGGCTATGAGAAAGAAAATTTGAAATCACCGTTTTTTTTTCATTTCCTATCCAGTAATTTATTTATATATTTCATCAATGAAATCATATGTATTTTTACTCAATTTTTGAAAAATTATAAGAGCTATTTTTTTCAAACTACCAAGACATCTGATTATAAGGATAGCAGACTGAACACATGCTCACATAACAAGATATGGTCTTTATCTAGCATTTTGCACTCGAATTGTTGTCATACTCAGTGTTATAGGTCATTAATCACATGTCAGAAAAGTTTCTTGTCATCGTCGACATCAATCACTTGAATATCAAGTGAATTATTCAATATTTTCTCTTATCAATCTTATAGATGTTTTTGTCTAGAATTATCAATCATTCGCAGAAAGGATACGATCTGCTATCATTATTCATACAACTATTCGATCAAAAAATAATGGCTTCTCCTATAAACAACAAATATGTTGATAATAATCACAACTTGTGTTCGGTAAGGTTCTTGGTATCACTCAATCGGTTGATATTCCTTTATTTGTTGAAATAGTTTTCAACTATACTGACTGCTTGACATGCTGATAAAGTACATGGAAATCCATCCTGAAAATTTTCAAAATGTTACTGAAGCTTGCTTCACTTTTGACGTATTTTATTCGGTAACCTTAGTATCAAAAAGTGATGTTTTTAGTACTTGTATGCAGCCGATCATTGTCATTTCAGATATTCTTATTTTTTCACTTCATTTGTGTTTCTGGATAGAATTAAGCAAGTATTAGAGTCTTCGTTGTACGATTATCGCTATTCGATATTTTACGATCTGTAGTGCTGGAAGACTTGAACCTTGAGAAGAAGACGATCTTTGATTAAGAATTTTGGATAAAATAGCTTTATCATGCATATCTCATAAGAGTAGTTGAGAAACAAACTTTAAAGAAGAAAAGTCGTTTCTTTCGTTAAATGCTATTTAATTATTAATGCATTTTCTCGTTATTAATCCGCCAAAATTTTCGAAATCGATTCATTCAATAGAGAAAGTAACACATAACAAAGCGTGGTATTTAATTTTTAGATAGCATGTTTTCCCTTTGTATAGTTTTCTGAGCTACGCCACATCGACTATATTATAAATGGTTAGCTTATGAAAACAAATGAGATAAGTAATAACTGTTTGCTCTAAAGATAAGTAATTTTGTGCTCGATTTTTTTAGGTCATTTGCATATTTCTAACTTGTTTTGATGCGGTGTCAATGGTAATAATCAGTCTTCATAATGATTATTAATTTCAATCTTTGCCCTAAAAACCTCCTCTTTTGTATGAAATATGCATAGCTCAGTTCTTTGTATGAGTAAATGACCTTTGCTGCCCTATGGTGACAGCTGGGTGAATATCGCCAATCTCTCCTGCCGCTGTGGAAGAGTCGCATGTATGCTTGCTACCACATTTACAAAAATACGGACAGTTTTGAACATAAGTCAAAAACTCAGTATTTGCAGCTTGTGTCCCTATGAGTTTTCACTAAAACTCTCATCCAAATTTCCAGTTACTACGGAAGAACGATAGAGAATAGCAGTAGGTAACTTTAAAATCAGTGAAAACCATGATCGTTTGAAGCAGAAAAATGACTACTGGGTCAAAAATGGTAGTTTTCGCTTACAGTATTGTATCATTCATAGTGCTTCTCGTTAGAAGATGTCCTCTTGTAATGTGTTAGCGGAATAATTAAAGCTACTTTATTTATTATCATGTGTAGTTTTCTTTCTTCGTTCCTATCCACTAGGGTGTACATTAGAATAAAACGAGAGATGGGATGAAATATAAAATACACTGATCGACGAACAAGACATATTCATTGCTTTTTAGTCTATATGTAATAGTTTCAGAATTAAAACTTCTCTAATAACGATGAATTGGAGCATTTTTCTTCTATACTATAATATCATTACTAGATAACTGATCATTTTTTAATAGATAATTTCATTTCTCCTCTTATTTTACAGTTTTCCGCTGAAGAGATCTATAGAAATTTGAAAAGAATCAAAACATTATATATCTTCATTAGAACACTATTCTAAATTAACTGACCATTTTCTTCAATATATAAATTCATTTTTCCATGACATCGCATTTTCTTTCTGAGAATATCGTGAAATTAAGATGTAAGGAGGGCATTTTTTTGTTTTAGCTGTATTTCGAATCGCAGTGATTTTCGTCTATCGCTTATGAGAGGAGCAGTTTTGACCTGAGAATGATTTTTACGCTTAGAATCAGCATTTTGTCACCAATCAAAAATTTGCCCAATCCTTATTGCGTCTTAATTTAAGTGCCATTATGACTCCAAGTATTTTCGTAGTGTGATCGCAATCAATAGCAAATGAATCACATGAGAGACCAGTTTGTATAGGTAAAAAAATACATGTGATTCATTCTCTATTTCTTTTCTCTCTTTTGAGGCTGTTCTCTTTCATATTATCAACAGAATAACAACCACTCACGTAACATTGGGCTACGAATGACTAAGTAACCATTGATGACACATGACACCCTTCTCCACGTTTCTTTCTCTCTTTCACCATATTTGTGCAAGCAATGTCAGCAAACGTATAAAAAGCAGAAGTTTCGATCGTTTTAAGTCACATACTCATAGTCAACTGTCAAGAAAAGAATGAGTCAATCAAGCAAGACCGCGTCTTCCGAACAGATGAACGAAGACAATCGAAAAGGTGTACGTAAAAATACTATAGTGTTCGAATGTCATATGAATTTTGTGTCTTGCGCTTTTAGCCATTTGTCATCGAGCCAAAATACGATTGTCCTCATTTGGGTGATCGTGCCTACGTATTGGTTCAGTCGACTGAACTTGCTGATGGTCAACAGCCACCATGTGCTGATTGTGGTAAAACGGAAGAGAACTGGGCATGTCTACATGATAATTGTCAATATGTGAGATATTTGTCGACAACTTAAATGTGTATTTTCATATATGTTGTTTTCTCTGTTTAGATTGGCTGCTCTCGTTATCATCAAAAACATATGTTGAATCATCATGAAACAACTGGACATAACATTTGTTTGAGTTTGTCGGATCATTCAGTCTTTTGCTATGCATGTGATAGCTACATTGATAGTCCTCAACTGCATACTCTTAATCGACAATTAAGCCGTACTTCTCACTAAATGTAACGAATAATACATATAAACATTGTACCGATGAATTTATTATTATTATTATTATTCTTGAGGTCTTGATAAACAAATAAAACAGTAAAGAGACTACCCCTATGTCTTTTTTTTGTTCTTTATCACACATATGTTATTTAAACAGATTTGAAACATTTAGGCAAACATAGATACATATGAAAAGATAAACATCAATGAGTAGATAAACAAACTATGGGTTATGTTTGAATATCAGATTATTTTTTTTTTGCATATATACGTTTATAACTTGAAGGACGATGGTGAATGTAGATAGGGACGAAAAAAGTCAAAGAGAGTAGTGCGTTTGCAAAGAGAAAATGTCAATCGAAAGAGAGAACACGAGTGTTGAAGAATGTACAATAATGGTATGAAGGCTACTACATAGAAGCCTGTAACATTCAGTCTCTCCTTTCTTCATTACATTTAAGTTTTTCTATGGAACCAAATCAAATTTTATCCATGTCATTATAAATGATTTGAGTCAGATTTTTCTACTGCAAATCAATTTTCTATTCGCTTGTAGCATCATTTCAATTATCAATTGATATTGCATGCATTAGCTCTGTGCCGTTTATTTGTTGCAAGTGTTTCGCAGTTTTCGTGTCTGGCACATATCCATACGTACAGATGCACAATTTCTTTTATCGGCCCCTTTATAGTAAATGAGAGAGAATATAGCTTGAGAAGATTCTATATGTCTATGTTTAATTTCAACCTCTTTCAATTTAATTCTGCACAGAGAAAGAATGACATATTTCTATTCAACCAACATATAGCTTAATTGGTACATAGAGCTTGATTGAAATTAATCTGCTCAATCATTTAAGAAAATGCTTACGAACAAATTCAACTTGCCTTCACGTTTTGTTTTCCTGATAGGATGTTCTCTTTCAAGATGACACCACTTGTCCATCATATTGACTACGAAAAATAGATTTGTATAGAAAAAGAAAGAGAAATAGTAGGCGAGATATCTACAACTGAAAAACAAATTGACGGAAAGTATAACTCCATAGGTTATCTCATTTAAAGAAATGACTTCATCTCTGTTGCATAGCTTTGCATCTTGTAAAAGTGATACATTCGGCTAAATTTTTTGTTTGAAAAAAACTAATTTTCATTTTACTGTAAAAGAAATCTGTCCTCTGCATTTAATATTGCTTATTGAGTACGGTTTTTCTTGCCATGTATGGATGACTCCTTATCATTGATTATCACGATCTGTCATATGTATGAAATATTTGAGCAAGGTCAATGATTTTCTTGAGATAGTTTGGCAACTCTTTCAATCGAGATTTCAACCTGAGACAAGTACAATAACTTTCCTGTATTGCTTGGTACTTCTGCAAAAGGCATATCAGTCGCTCTCGCATCTACTAAATGATATTCATGTTATTGTGACTACTTTCGGTTTGAAAATAAAATATCATTGTTTGATACATTTTCTGATATTTGTTTTTTATTTACAAGCTCTTTTTTTCTAGACAAAATTGAGTTAAATATTGTCAATTTTAGTATAACAGAAAGTTTTGTTAGTTGATTTTGTTTCTTCTTTGAATGTTTTTAAAAGTTATCTTTTGAATGATAGTAAGTGGCATTCTGACAACGAAAAATATCTAGCTGAAACATTCCTTTTGAAATGAGACTTCTGCCATGACACAAAACCTATTGAAAGTAAAATAGACTGAAACGATTTCTGATAATAGACCTTTCCTCTCAAGTTATGGTCATTGTACTAAATTTTCGAATCATGATGACGAATTTCCACAGAACTCAAATGAAAAACTTTTGATCTGCTACCTTACTTCTGAACTGCTCTAATGATACCTAACTTGGAATTTGTTCATTTGAGCACTGTGAAAATTCATTGTCATCGGTTGAAATCAGCCAATCATAATTATAGCAAATATACGCATCAGTTTTCAAAATCATTCATCTGCAGATACGCGTTAGCCTCTACCTTTACTATGAATTGACCAATTACGCACTGAGTTACAACGTTTCGTCATAATGCTAATGTGTCTTTTTAGACAGTTGAAGTGCTTTACGTTTAAACAGTGTGACGCTTTGACTGCTTTTGCGCTCGTTGAAAATCATAACATATCAAATAGCATCTCTTGGCTGCCTTTTCTGCCGTATTTTTCTCATCTATAATCGTCAGATAATTCGAGTGCTAACTTTATTTACTCAATAGATTGTCTTTACTATTATTTTTATTTATTTCACTGACAATGGAGGGGCGTGTACTGTAAGTTAAATTCATTGACCATGTTCGGGTCAAATGAGCACTTTTACCGAGAAACTAATGAATTTAAAATATGAGCTGCCATTGGCGTGTCTAGGCAGATATATTCAATTTTTAAGTTATGCACTATGGGAGGTATAGAAAGGGTGTGGGTGTTAGTGGGGGTGTATGTGGGTAGGGGTGTGGTAGTGGGCGTGAGTGTGGGTGTGGGTGAGGGGAGAGACGAGTTGTGCAGGTGTACGTGTGGTGAAAGAAAAGATTCACATTATTGCCCACACTCCACACACTTTCTATATCCCCAATAATGGATAACTTAAACATTGAATATCTCTACCCAGGCACACCAATGGCAACTCATATTTTAAATTCGTTAGTTTCTCGGCGAGAGCGCTTATTTCACCCGAACATGGTCAATCAATTTAACTTACAGTGCACGCTCCTTCCTTGTAAAAGCTAAAGAATACATGACAAAGGAGGATTTAAACGGATATCATAGATTTTGTAGTCAAGAAAAGCCAATTTCTTTGTTTGCTACGCGATTTTATTATTTATTTTGCTATTCTATTCTGTTTGTCAGCGACAGCATTTCTTCGTCAATGTACACATCATCACTCACTGTATGCATATACAGAAAGGCGCAGCATACAAGAAAAATTCAAGAAAGGAAAATTGCATATGTCACTAAAAATGGTGGATACAACATCATTTCATAATTCTGTTTGTGTGAATGAAGCTGTGGGTGTGTGAGGGTGTAAACGCGCATCTTCTCTTCGTCTGTAAACCACATCCACATCTACACCCGCGTTACCACATTACCACATTTCTACACTTATACTCCTACACCTAACTATCTAGTTGCAAATTTTGAATTATTTTTGAGAATATTGCCATTAAGAGCTCTAACAACTATAATTGAGAATAGGAAAATTAGCTGCACAGGTAAGCAAGAAGGAAATTGCTGGCTTAAACTTTTCTGCCATTCTCAAGTTATGTGTAAGTGATTTCTTCCTTCCATCTCAGAGCTGTGCACTAATACTTATCGATTTCTAAAAACTTATTCGTCGTGATAGTTGGAACGGTTTGCTGCAATAAAAAATGGAGGAGGTATATGCACAGCGAAACAGAAGTAATCTGTGTTAGGTGGATGCTGTTAGCAGCAGAAACAACTCAAGTTTCACAACTGAAAGTGTTGAAGATACTGAAGGTCAGAATATCCGCTGAAGAATTACCAATAACTATTCCAAATTCTAAGAGACATGAAGTACTTGCAAATGAACGTTTTTTTCTACTTCCCGTACAAGTACAACTTGTTTTTCGTGCCATGTGAGTGCACACGCATATACCTTTTGCTTAAAAATCGCAAAAAGTATAAGTAAAACTACTTCCGTCTTTGCTCTGGTGTCGAATAAATTCTTGTATAAAATTGCCCAAGTGTAATCGATTTGAGCTTCACAAATGAATTGGGTTCGAGGTCGATCAAACAATACATGTCGAAAGATTACGGTACTTCCCAGCCACAGAATCTTTTCTAAATCAAGCGACAGAAACTGATAGTAGGATCCTAATAGATTTCCGGATGGTTGATGTGAACGATTGATTGCTAATAGTTCAGTAGCTGCACGGCGAGAAAGATCCATTTCTGAAATTTGCGACGTTGTGGCTTTTGCCTCTGGATAATTACTATTCTACAGAGGATGACGACTAACTTAATTACGGACATTCATATCGAAAACGCTGGTTTGATCTGCATCGCCAATCTCCTGTTCATTTCGACCTCGATCTGCCATTCGAACAAGAACACTGGAGAAACCCCAATCAATCTGTGCCATCGTCGTTTCTTGACAAAGTTCACAAATGTCGACTTCGATTCGAAACATTCTCGAGCTAGATTGTCGCTACGCACGCTATCGAGATTATCTTGTCCGTTTACTGCAATAACTTTTGGACAACTTGTATAATCATCAAACAAATGTCTGATATATGCTCTCGAGAATCCACATAATATTGAAAGAATTTCAAACACATCAGGTATCTTTCTATCTGAACAATCAACGGGATTGGCTGAAAAATATTGCGAGATTATAGAGCTTTGACATTAGGGATGTCCGTTTTTTTGGCAAAGTTTTTGAAAAAAAGCAAAAAAGGCGAGTTTCGCTTGCGAAAAAAGTAAAGTGGAAAGAATCTAGGGACTTGATCGTTCAATGTCACTTTGTCAAATGTATAAATTCATACAGAATAATTTTTTGATGCATTCTTTTGGTCGAATCGATTAGGATAAATACACATTGAATTTAGTATCAAAATCTCGAATAGGCAAATATTCAATATGGTCATGTGATTCGATATTTTCCTAATCGTCAATTATTTTTCTCAAACTGTTTGTCGTCTAAAATTACTACATTTTGTTCTGCAATACTTTTTCTTAGTCAAGAGTGCTTCATACTACACACATGCAACACTTGACATAGCGACTATCGTCATGAAAGCAAACACGCCGCGCGAGACTCACCCGTTACTTTTTATTAAATAACGCAAGGTAGATAGTATTGACTATCATTTGCGTGCAATTATTTTACATACATTCTTTATTACTGTGTGACGCCCATGCATCGTGCGAACATCATTTTTTTAATGATTACGACGACAGTGATGGTTGTTGTCGACGATGTATGCGTTTGTTCATGTTGCAATAGACATATGGATCGCACTGGTTGCATTTTGGATTCGCCTA